ACGTTTCTGCCACAAGAAAAATTTTTTTTTTTCGTGGGCAAGGTTTAAAGGATCACTACACCAAAAACAAAATTTCGAAAAAAAAAAAAAAAATCCGCAGAGGCGATGAACGGGACGCTACGAACTCCAAAACATCCATTATACATCGATGTCACAAGCGGATGGCCGTATTTTTTGGAAAAGAAGGGCGCGATCAAGCGAGGGCTATGACGTTGCGATCCTCCAGGAACCGTTGAGAGTGAGGGGAAGCGGCCTCGCTTCTCTCCTCCTCCGCTTCTGTTCACCAGCTCCTCGAGGGGGGGAAGCGAAGAAGAGAAGGAATAAAAATTGTGACGTCACATGTCTCGTCGGCCGTGTTCAATCGCGCACTTCTTTTCCAAAAATACGGCCATCGGTTAGAGATATCGCTGTGTGAGTTATGTTTTTTGGGTTTTGCAGCGTCCCACCTATCGCTTTCGAGCTTTAGGCTAAAAGCAAATTCGAGCTTTGTGAGCTCGAATTTGCGGTTCAGTACTCCTTTAACCGATAAAGGCCGCCAATGTATGCCTTGGAGCATTGTCGTCCAGCTCGACCATCCGTGGCGGCCAAATAACTGACCTTACTCTCGCACACGGTGTAAGATGTAGTATACACGAACTCATCTCTTTTACGTCACGGCCCGGTGGTGGCGCGTCGGACGCACTTCCGGTCCGGGGCTGTGGGCGGAAGTGCCCATCTGAGACGTGCATTCCTGCGTTGTTTTGAAAGGAACCAGACAAAAACCTGCCTTCTTGTCAAAATGCTTCGACTGGGGCTTTACCAAAAGGGTCGAGAAAGGTTTGGTCAGTTTTCATGCGCTCGGTTCGTCCAAAAACGTGGATATGTGCCGTAAAAAGGGAAAACCAGACGCCGTCGGACCACGATTGCTTGGGCGGGAAGCATTTTGGGTTGAATTCACGGATAATTCTGGCCACCAGATTTATTTGTTTTGTTCCCAAATGAACGCCGGAAAACCGCCAAGTTGTACGGTCCACCTGCGGACTACGTTCAGTGCGTCTTCAAGTTCAAACGGTCGCCTGATCGTTCGAACTGTCGTCTGCTCTTTCAAACGTTTCTGCTTGTCGTCTGCTCTTTTAGAGGACACCGGCCCGTAGACCAAACGTGGACCCGGTACTTGCGATAAGAAGTGCAGGCCTCAAAAGACTTAAGTTTGAAGGTTGGTAAGCAGGCTCGATGTAAACAGTGGATACAAGGAGATGTTGATTATTGTTACCAGTGGCCATCACCGACTTGGTATGCCTGATTCACTTGGTTAGATTCTGCTTGCGATTTTCAGTGTCGACGTCGACCATCTCAGCTACGGTTCACGCTTTTGCAGTCCGAGCGACGTCGCTACTGAAAATTGTGAGCGAAATCTCATCATGTGAATCAGGCTTTAGCGTACATTCTGCGGCGTCCACGCGGAATGAATCGCCGCATGTCAGATTATTCACGCGAAGGTTTGCGGTGTAACGAGCCTCGTTAATTTCGCTGACGCCGCTCAAGTAGTCAGACATCGTTAGGAGGACGTACAATCAACAATTCCAACGCGAAAAAGAGCGCGGGGACTCACACAGACGCCGACAACATCGCGTTTCAATGGTTTGTTTATGGGCGACGGCGAGCTTCTTGCCCACACCCCCATCGCGCATGCGCGGCGCCGGTGGCGTCCGCTAGGGGCTCTCCGGGCGCTCCGGTTTGTTTGTAAACATGGCAGCTGCCAAAGTTCTCTCCTCGCTTTGGTTGCAAGCGGCGCCACCAGATGACTCTTCGGTACGCGGTTAGTGGCAGCCTGTCGCCCACCCGGTTTCCCATGTTTCTCTATGCGGAGCGAAAGTACGCTTCTGTTGCAGGGGGTTGTGGTGACGTCAGGAGCCACATCCCCCTGCAACCCTGCAAAAGAAGACGTCGAAAGAACGTGATGACGTCAGGAACCACATGTCGAAAGAACGTCGAAAGTCTGAACGTCAGGTCCCTTCGACGTAATGTGGAATAATCTGGAAAAAAAGTGTGGATTTTACGTCGACATAACGTCCCACTAACGACCTTAGAACGTCGAGTGAACATCTGAATTGGACAAGAAGTCAAGTGATAACGTTATATCGACGTTGACACAATGTCCCATTTGACGACCAAAAACGTCGAGTATACGTCTAAACCGAACTAGATGTCAAATGAAAATGTCATATTAAGGACAATATGTCGAGCGCACGTCTGTGATAAGGTTATGTCAACGTTGAAATAACGTCCCATTTAACAACCATAAAACGTCGAGCATACGTCTAGGCTAAATGGGATGACAATTAATAACGGTCTCGACATGGTTCATCGTCGAACGATGGAGTCAACCGGATCTGGCTTCGTTGCTCCAAGGTATGTTAGCGAAAGCATGTATTTTCGGACGGAATAGCCCATTTGCTGAATCTCCCAAGCGCCCCAGCCCGCTATCCAGGAATCATGGGAACGTTGTTCCTTCAGCTGGATAGAAAATTTGATTTACAAGAGTGGCGCCATGCCTAGAACAAAACCAAAAACCGAAAACACGCTATGTACAGTGATACAGGCTCTACAATCCACAAGCCAAGCTAGCCAACCCCGTGCCTAAGGCGCGGGCACGCGCCTGTCGCTCGGCAAAGCGCCCGACCGCGCGATCACTCGCGTAAAGACACCCCCCAACCGGTACCGCGCTCGTACGTCCCGCCCCTGCTACGCCTCAAAGAGAGGGCCACATCGCGTCCCCTTCTCCCTTTCTTCGCCTAACGCGCTCTAGATCCTAGTGATCGGTAATTTCGACCACTTCTATGGTTCGACACTTTTGGGTGTAATTCGGAGTCACTCTATACAAGTGTCCTATATTGCCCAAGGACCTGTCATAGCACGTTTAAGATTTCTCGTCAATGACAACGTTTTCGATATTGTGCATGCTGTCTACCCTTCAACCTGGCTCAGCTGCAGAAATCTCTTATATTATTATTATTCTCTTACAGCTTCAAAGACGCTGATATTAAGTTAGAAACGCTAAAAATGCTGTAAACAACCCCGCTGACTCCGAGCTAAATCCTGGTTTTTGTTGTTGTGAATTCTCGGCTTTTTAAGCAATTCCTGCTCAAACAACATTCACGAGAATGATAATATTGTAAGAGATTTCTGCAGCTCAGGCCAGGTCGAAATGTGGATTGCACGCACAGTACAAAAAATGCAGATATTGACGAAAACTTTTAAAAGTGATGTGAGAGCATTTTGGGTTCCATAAGGCGCTTGTTTAGGGTGATCAAGGTGCTCGCTCAGACATTGTTGGGACGTCTCGCGCTCAACGTTCGAAGAACCTAAAAAAAAAAAACCCCGCTGACGTCGAATAATCTCGAAGACGTCTAAGGTGTTGCTCATGACACTGTTGGGACGTCTCGTGCTCCACGTTCAAAGAACTTCCCGGAGAAAACGTACAACTGACGTCTATTATTGCCATTGACGTCAAGGTGTTGCTTAGACATTGTTGGGACGTCTCGCGCTCAACATTACAAGAACCTCTTGAAGAAACGTAGAAATGACGTCGAATATTGTTGATGACGTCAAGGTGTTGCACAGGACATTGTTGGGACGTCTTGTGCTCCACGTTCGAAGAACTTCCCGGAGAAAACGTAGACCTGACGTCTATTATTGCCAATGACGTCAAGGTGCTGCTCAGACATTATTGGGACGTCTCGCGCTCAACGTTCGAAGAATTTACCGAAAAAACGTAGGACGGACGTCGATTAATGTCGAAGACTTCAAGGTGTTTTCCAGGACATTTTTATGACGTCTAGTGCTCGACGTTTAAAGAACTTCTCATACAAGACGTCGAACAGACGTCGAATACTGGTGAAGACGTCGAGGTGAAGCTTATGACGTTGTCACCACGTCGCGCGTTTGACGTTGTCGGAACCTCTCATGTCGACGTACCAATGCCGCCGATAAAAAGTTTGTTAAGGACTTCGACGTCGCCCAACGTCGAGGACCTTATTTCGACGTCATCTCGACGTTGTGCTGCCTGGGTAGTTAGGATAAATAATCATGTTTGGGCAAGGGCAGATTACGTCAATGGGGCTTGTAATGTCAACACATTATTGCTGACGAGATAGGTGAATGCGAGTTAACACGAACGTTAAATCAACACGAACGTCGACTCCCATTCACACACGGCGCGAAGGTCATCGCATCATTGGATGTCTGAACGATCGTTGCACATTAAAGACATTAAAGAAATTCGCCAGTTTCGTCCGAATTCGGTGAACACTTTCAGCTGTCCTGGCTGCAAAATCCCGCCGATCCCCAGTACGAGCAGATTATAGCTGTCTTCCTAGCAAGCATTCCGTTTTCCTCCCGCGGGACTAAAACATACAAATGTCTCAGGAGGACTAATGGCTGTTTTTACTCGCGCACGCCTCTCGGTTAGTCCCAGTCGAGTCTTCAGCATTTGCGCACGGTACATGGCTCGAACCAGATGGTCTCTTCGGGGAGAAAATGGGAGTTGGCAGGACCAAATGCTGCCGTTAGTCCTTTAGAGACCACCTTTTTTCTTAGAGGGTATTGGCGGCGAGCGCGACCAAAAGCATCTTTGTGGTCGGCCCTTTACAATTGGCCAAGCGCTAACTATGATGTCTTGAGTAGAATTTTTGTTTGCGTTCATTATTCAAAATAAGAAAAAGAAAAGAGTCTGACTGTCAAGTTGGGCGGTGTTGGTTTAAGGACGCGACGAGCTTCCAGCGTGCTTTCTACGCACACCGCTTGGAACTGATAATCCTGTTTGTGAAGTCATAGACTAAAGCCAGGGAGCCTCCGAAACATTTCGTCACCAATAGTTTCGCGGGTTTTGCAGTATGGCCAAAGGAGTGTCCTACATGGCACGCGTGTCTCCTCAGAGGTCTTCCCGGCATATGCCTGGAACGGTTTGAATTTTGACCACGTGGGACTCGGTACAAACGGAACTGTCTCACCTACCGCAGATCTTGCCCGGCATCGTGATGAAGCTCGTCTCGTGCGTCTTCTTCCTCGGGGTCATCAACTCGGCCGGCCGCTTGGTGCTGGGGCAGCACGTGCTGGAGCTGGTCAACGCCACCGCGGCAGCCAAGGGAAACCTGTCGGCCAGGGCAGACTTCTTCCAGACTTTCGCCAATAAACTGGACTGAAGCTCTTCTCAGAGGCCTGCGCGAGCAAAAGAAAAACAAAACCGTCACGATCGAACTGCGAAAGATCCGTGTCATTCCGACGATAACGTCTAGTCCAGCAACGAGGTTCTCTTGGAGCCTTGTTTCTCCGAGAATTGGGAGACAAAAAAAGCTGCTCGATTAGATTCAGCGCATGCTCGTTGAACGTAGAAAGCGATCTGCTGTCACTCCCAGCTAGGCCAACACGAGCGAAAAAGGAAGGTACATAATGGTCGCCGCGAGACTGGATGGGCACCATGAGCGTTTGGTGAATAGCGTGCGCACTTCGACATAGAATTATGAACGCCGAGTCACGGCAGACTTGTGCCTATCTCAAATACTCTACTCAAGATACTATATCTTAAATACTTTTTGGAGTATCTTGGTATCTTGCAAATACCTTTGATAGAGAGTATTTAATACTTTATTTTAATTACAATTCCGAGTATCATGTACTCATTATCTTAAATACATTTTTGACATTCCGCCATTTTCCGAGTTTTTCGGTATGAAGTGGAATGGGCGTGGCACGGGCAAACGTGAACATTCTTTCGAGCAACCAAATCCTGTCGCTAGCTCCGATTAGCTATGGTGACCTTAACTGAGCTAGTGGAAATGTCGCTTTTTTGCCGACTGTGACTCATAGTTCAGCCCTAAGTTCGTACAATGAAGGTCCTCCTCTCGCCTTCTCAAAGGCGCCTTTTGTTTCTATAAAGTTTCTTCCCAAAAAATCCTCAAACCAAAGGTGTGGTTTTACGGACTTTAATTACCTTGCAAGCCAAAGAAAAACTCTTTCTACACGGCACCCTTCGTGGGTAATTGATAAAAACCAGGAGAAAAAATAAGAAAAAATAAAAGCAATGGGAAAGAAGAAGAAAAAGGATGATTGGAGATGAATCAATAGAAGAAGAGGAAGATTTAATAAAAAACAGTTGGTAGTCCAGCGGTCGGTTCGCCAATCTTTTCTCCTGTCACCTTCCTTTCTTTGTTCATCTGGTTTTACCCAAGATGTTTCAGAACCAACTAGCCCAACTTTTACCCTTAAAAAGATGCCACCCTGAGGCGCAAGCAGACCGGGAAACGACCTACGACAGCAATGCAGACTTAAGTGTCAAGAAATAACAAATAGAAAAAATGAGAAGTGGACACACACAAAAAAGTAGACATTTTTGTTTTACTTTTTGTATATTTGACCCCGCTAAAACAAAACGTCGAGGTTTTTCTGCTTTCTTTGTGTTGTCAGTCCGACACTTAATGCTCTCGCGAACACTGTCTGTAAGCGAACATTGCTAAGCAGAGAACAGTACAAGAAACGAACTAGGAGCTGGGTGACCTCTCAAAATACCAACAAAGTGTCCCCCAACGTTGAATGCTTTTCTGAACGCAACCTACTTGAAGGTGCGACCACTGCCGTGGCTATTATGCGGGTTCTCTTTGTTATCCATTCACTCATATCCGTGTCCCAAGTTCGTTTATAGACCTTTTTCGCAAGCGCTCTGCCATCTTGAATTGTCGTCACTTCCAGTATGGGCGCAAACATTGTTTTGCCGTCGCCACGCCAATAGAAGGCATCTAGAACAAAAACGTGTCCGTCACACATTCTCGTTTTGCCTCCCCTCTATTTTTTTTACTATTTGCAGGTTGAAACGTTTTGATATTTTTTCGTCGCCCATACCGGATATGCCTACTTGGCGGTCGGGGGCGAGAGTAAGCGGAATAGGTCTATAGTGAACTCCAAACGATGCGTCTAAGGTGCGCCGCACGATGTGATATTCAGCGATGTCACTTTTGGCGAAGCGCTCTGACCCGTTTGTCATCCCCACACCTCGGTGTTTACCCAACGCAAGGCCTCTGCACAGGCCTTGTGGGCATGTTCGTGTCATATTTTGTAATAGAGCGCGGGGCATAGTGTAATGGAAAAATACCAACAATTAGTGAAGTGACGTTAAGTGCCGGACCTCCCCCGAAAGCAGTCGTCAGAGGATGCGAACTTGACCCACTTGGGCTTTTGTGCTGAGCTGGGCAGGGTGCATGCTGCATTGTTCATGCAGGCCGGAGTGGTAACGAAAGAGCCCCTCCTCCCCCTCACCGGAGAACACGAACTCCAGCCGAACGCTGACGCCGCGTTCGGTTAAGTCAGCCGAGCGCTGAGCCATTGTGTTTGTTGTCCCCATCCATCTAGTTCTAAAGTTAACCGCTTGGGGCGCCACGGTCTGATATCCTCCCCAATGGCTAAAGCGACCTCTTTCTTTGAACATGATTGTAAACCTGAGACTGGGGCAGAAAAGAGAACACAACAGAAGGTAGTAAAAGAGGAGGCAACGTCTCAACATTGAGACGTTGCCTCCTCTTTTACTACCTTCGTTGCCTCCTCTTTTACTACCTTCTGTTGTGTTCTCTTTTCTGCCCCAGTCTCAGGTTTACAATCATGTTCAACTTACACCAGCTCGCCTGCACTCTGACTATTTTTACCTCTTTCTTGTTGTCCCAGAAATGTTTTGTAACATCTATCAGTGATATTGCCACGTGCGTTGCCCAGCGAGCGCGTGGCCGAATGGTTACCGCGCTTGGCTCTCGCGCGGAGGCTCTCGCGCGGAGTCTAGGGGTTCGATACCTTTTATTTATTTCTTCAACTTGACATTCTGGTAAGTTCGAGAATTTTGTCGTCTGATCGAGTTACGAATGTTCTACGCGCCGAACTTTCTACGCCGAATGTTCCAGAAACACACGCGGGTACAAAAGGTGCTCCGGGTGGCGGTCCGGAGTCAGTCTCGCCCCAGCGGTCGATCCTGCTGTTTCGCCGACATCGACGCCTGCGACGCTAACCTTTCACTCTTTTGTTTTGGGAACAAGTTCGCCCCATTAAAGGTTTAGTTTCTTCAGTTATTCGCCGCCTCATCATTTATCATTCGTAACAATATAAGACAATTGCAAGCATGGCGCCACAAGTGGTGCCCCATGCGTGCAAGCGCGTGCAACGCGCGGGTGAACGCAGCTTTGGCAAGCTCGTAATCGCACGGGCGTGCATGCTTGAGCAGAGACATGGCGGCGGCCAGTCGCCCAGCTTGCAATCGTCTATAATCGGACTGCATAAAATAGCCCTACGATACTTTTTTTTTCGTTGTGTGTTGTTGGGTGCTAATAAGCCATTCTGGTAACCCAGATTTGCGTAGCTGCATAATTGTCGTTGTCAATGACGTCGATACAAATTAAGCAATGCGGAAGTATCTTCAGAAGTAACTGAAATACATTTCTAAGTATTTGTACTCTACTCAAGGTACTTTACAGTGAAAGTGACTTGAGTAGTATTTTAAATACTTTATGACGCAGGTATTTAGTAAATTAACTTAAATACTTTTATCGAGTATTTTGTCCAACACTGAGTCACGGACTCCGAGATTCCCTCGAAAAAAAACCAAAACAGCCTCGGGAGCAGGGTGTAAGATAGACAGGTGGGGAAACGGCCCATAGAAACCTACCGCAGCGCCGTGACCGGATTGTGTACTCGCCTGCTGAATCCCGGAGAAAAGCTCACCGGAGAAAAGCTCACCGGAGAAAAGCTCACCGGAGAAAAGCTCACCGGAGATAAGCTCACCGGAGAAAAGCTCACCGCAAAACCTGCGGATGCGGAGAAAAGCTCACCAATTTTTTTTCCTTCTTGTTATATAGAGGCTGTTGGATCATGCGTAACATATATCAATTTATTATCATTAAAGTTCGTCAGCTTTGTCAAAAAGAAAATGTCCTTTTTGTATTATTTACCAAGCTTATTAAGTATATCGCTCCCAAATTAATAATGGCGGGCCAGTTTTTCCTGCGGCTTACTCTCCAGGCAACTAAAGCCTAACTGGAAATTTTGTGAACTTGAATAACATGAAAAAGTTCGAAAACTTATGTCTCCCTAAAACCTAAAAATCAAAACTGTAAACACCGAAAATCCGAAAGTGCATGCGCAACAACGCGGTGCCTGAAATTCTCTTTGAAGATTTTATTAACCTTTGAAAACAGGATAAAACAGTCAGTAGGATATTGAGGCTTCTTTCTTCCACGGACATGCACGTTTTCTAGCCGTTCGTGCTGGTGTTTCCGCACGTTGCCTTTGTGTGATAGCAGTGCCCTTCTAAGGTGAGCCACTCATGACTTTCAGAGCTACACGCTGGCACCGTTGTTACTCGTGACCTATGTAAGAAATAGTCTTTTGTAAGGTAGCGAATAGGGCGAGTTGGTAAACGTTATACATGATGAAAACCGCTCAAACGACGACGAACGAGTGAAGACAGCAAACACGACAGGACGAAGCTGTTTTCGCAACTAAAGTTTTCTTATTGAAATTAACAGAAAGAAAACAGCGTAGCTGACACTGATTGCATCAACAAATACCTAACTCCGCTCAATTCCGAAAAATTTAGGCTTCCATGTGATTCACATTCACAAAGCACTACTAAACAACTCTACGTCTTCGGATTCGCGAAATGTGGAATATTATTTGTGTAATCCTAATTTAAACGTCAGCAGATACCGAAACCGAAACTTCGGTTGCGTCAGGCAACATCGGTCTCGGGTCGTCAAAGGCATGCGCGTCACGTCGAACCACGTGGTCTTGTGACGTTCGGGAGGGAGCGAGAAACAGGACACGCGACGCGGGCAGGTTTTTTTTTTTTTTTTTTTTTTTTTATTGGACGCGGGAAGGTCGCTTCGCGTGGCGTGGACGGTGATGGCCTGGGTGAGAGGGGGAAGGGAAAAGACGAAAGAGAAGTGGAGCGGAGAAACAGACCGATAAGCGCGCAGGGCAGCGCAAAGTAGCGCATCCGTGTTACGGTGATCACGTGAACGCCCGGTCAGCCAACACCGGGAGGAGAAACTCATGACGTCATCGTTGGATTTCGCTCTGAGAAATAAAAACAAGCAAAACGTGAGAATGACGTACATGCCTCTGACGTAGTGGCTCAACGTTGGCCGCTCCAACTCCGTGGCATTGACTGCGCTGATGATT